ACATAATCGTACAAAGCATGTGGAGGTTGATCGAAATTTCATTAAAAAGAAGTTGGATGCGGAGATTGTTTCCTTCCCGTTTATGTTCTGAGTATCAATTAGCGCGATGTCCTTACGAAAGTTGTTTCTACAAGTATATTCCTCAACTCGCTTGACAAGTTGGGCATACGTGACATCTTTGCTCCAACTTGAGGGGAAGTATTGGCGAGATATATCCTTATTCAATTAGGATATTTCTTTCTTATTCTATTAGGTTTTTATTTATTTATTTTTGTATAGATATTATGTAATTAGGACTTATCTTGTTTCCTAGTATAACCCTACTAGGGTTTGTAACTTTGTAATATAAATACCTCCTTTCGGAGAAGTAAATACATATGAAAATTATTCTACCCATATTATTTGAGCAAGCGAAGGGAACCCAATTCGGCACCATATTGAAGAAGGTTCGTTAACGTTCATGTTAAAATCAAGTATGGCACTAGAATTTATCGGCGGAGCACTGTTTACGCTGCTCTACGATGGCGTTAAGCAAGCCATGAGCAAGAGCGGCACCTTTAAATCCCTTCTCAGAGATCTCAATTCCACCCTAGACGCTTTGGTAGACATCCAACAAATTAGAGAGTTTAACGTCGAATTGGGTCTCCCAAATGAGGAAATCGAAGGTCTCAAAATGCTAATGGAGGAAGGTGTAAAGCTCGTTGAGAAGCTCTCGAACTTTCGCATGTGGAACTACTTCTGCTTAAATGATTACACTGAGCAAATTGCTGAATTGAATAGGGCTCTGAAAAGATTGTTGCAAAAATTGAAGTTCGAAGAATCAAGGGATGTGAAGGAGTTGTTGCTTTTGGGAAGGCAAAACCGAGACAAGCTCGATGAAGTGAATAGAAGACAGTTGGATATAGAGAAGTTGTTCCAGGAGAGAGCAGGGGATGTCATGGAGAGCTCGGTTTCAGGCGGCAATGCGGAGACGGTGCGGGAGCAAAGTCAAGGGAATGGTGAGCAACCAGGTGAATTTCTTGGAACTAGATCTATGCACTGTCCAATTGCTATTGTTTTTTCTTTCTTACACTGTCGATTTTATTTTCCCTTTTGTGGAGTACAAGTATACAGAGCTTATTGAATACTTAACTGAAATTTAGATTAGAAGAATGTTAATCAAGCACAAATATCTGATGTAGAAATTTATTTTATATTTTTTGAAAAAGAAAACAAAGATTAACACCAATGGCAGACGTAGCTTGTTTATGTTGTATGAATCTGATCACCAAAAAAAGGGGAGAAAATTGAGTTTTGTGTTGCTTTCTTTGAGTCTCTTGATTTGTTGTTATCTTGGGTTCCGTATGACCTTAGGTTGCATTTAGATGTATGGACTTTCGTATTGCTTGGTTTGACTTGATTCTGTTCTTGGTTTCCTAATGAAATTTAATTTATTGGATTTTGGTGGTGTCTCTCACTTTTTTTTTCGTCACATGTTGAGACAATTACGAGCTATCTGATTTTGGTGGTGTTGTAATTATGCAGTGACGTCATTCGACAGAGGGACTTCTCTACATGCAGTTTTTGTTGTGTTGTTTGATGTGGTTATACAAGTGAAGGAAAAGACTACGGTTTTTAAACCCTTCCTTGAAGATATCAAATCCACACTAGATATCTTAAAACCATTGATCGAAGAGATTGCAAAGCATAACAAAGTATTAGATCGCCCAAAGGAGGAACTTGAAAATTTTAGAAATCAAATGGAAAAGGGTGTAGAGCTCATCCGCAAGTGCTTCCAGGTTCGTTTGTGGTCCAGCTGCAAACAGTATAAATACACCGACAAACTTATGGGATTGGATGAATCTCTTCAAAAAATGTTAAATATACTCAAAGCGCAGGTAGCAAGAGATCTCAAGGAGACATTGGTTTCAATCAAAAAAATAGAAGGGGTGATCAAGAAAATTGAAGAAAGTGGTCTGGTGCGAGATCAAATTCAAACTAAAGGTTTCGGGTGCATTACCTGAACCTTTATCGCCTAGAGTTGGATTGGATATAATGAACATGCAAGGAACAAGGGATGTGAAAGAGGCATTGGTTTCATGTAGGAATACTAATTCTAGTCCATGTTTTTAAATAAAAAGTAAAAGCAGTTGTGTTGTGTGGACGATAAATTTGTGTCACATTTTTAAATAAATATTGTTGTATAGATAATATTGGGTTAGTTATCGACTGCTTATTTCTCATTGGCTTTGTGTAGACCAGGTGCTTTGCTGCATCATATGGTATTATTGGGTTTATAATAAATAATATTGGACTGGATAAAACCTTTTCTTATTTGAGTTCTATGTATGCACTTTGTACCTATGATATTCCATTTAGATTTGATTGTATAATGCAACTTGACGCAACTTGAAAAAGAAAACCCACTAGGCAGAAAGATAAAAACAAGACATTTCAAATTTGTATTGACTTGACCCCATGCCCAAAAAGAGCCAAAAGAAAAATGACCGGACCCAAAATCGAATCTAGGACCTCAAGTGTAATATTATTAAACGTTCTTAACCACTTAAGTTACAGATCCCTTACTTTTTCAAGATATAAAAAGAAAAAAATTTGTAACTCAAGTGGTTAAAAACAGTTATTCTTACATTTAATGTCCTGTGTCCAAATTTCATGCCCTTTGTATAAATAAACTTGTAGCTCACGTCACCCTTGATATCCACATTGCGAACTATTCTCAGCTAGGCCAATATAAGTCAGC